ATGCCATGGCCATGACAGAACAAGTATTGCAGCTCTATCTTTTATCTACAGCTACTAGTTGCAGAGATTTTTTACCTTCTCTCTAACCTCTTACACTCTCCCAGAAATCAAAGGCACAAGTCCAAATGTGTACCCACTTTGGCAGGGGGACCTAATGACATCTTCCATTTCTACCATATCACAAATGGAGACCTTTCTTTGCATAGAAACCTGATGTGATCTGAAATTACAGCTTCAGTGCCAATTTGCTATGTGGGCTTTAGCATTCTCATATGTAACTTAAGTAACTGAGTCAGATGAATCTCAAACTCCATCCCAAAACTAACATCCCAACAAAGTATGTGTTGTGAGCTTTACAATGTCGGTGCGGGGTGAGGGGGGGGAAGGGAGGGGAAGGAGAAGGATTGGGATTGGGGGGAAGAGGGGAGGCTGGGAAGGGATGTGAAGGGTAAACCAAAGGAGGAGGCTGCCATGCTTGGTAAGAAATGTACGCATTATCCTGCCCATGTAATTGTAACCCCTCTGTACAGTATGTTCACAAATAAAATTAAATTAAATTAAAAAAAAAGTATGTGTTGTGTCTCTAAGGTTCTGAGAGGAAGAAAAATTCACACCAACAACTATCATATGTGGTTCTTTATGATAAATGACATTTAGAGGCTCAAACCAAGGGTATTACGAGTAAACACAGAGGGGAAGGAGTCACTGGTCACAAAAAAGCACCAGGAGAAGAAATAGCATCTGTATCTAAGCTGGCAGAAATGTAATGTTGTATAGAGGGTGGCAAAAGATAAGGGTAGAAAGAAAGATCAGGGCCAGATCATAGGAAGCTTTTTTTTGCAGGGGGTGGGGCGGAATCATAGAGCCTGAACTCTGGGCTTGGGCGCTATCCTTCAGCTCTTCAGCTCAAGGCGAGCGCTCTACTGCTTGAACCACAGCGTCACTTCCAGTTTTCTAGTGGTTTATTGGAGATAAGAGTCTGATGGCTTTTCCTGCCAGGGCTTGCTTTGAACCATGATCCTCAGATCTCAGCCTCCTGAATAGCTAGGATTACAGGTGTGAACCACCAGAGCCCATCTTCATGGGAAGCTTTGTAATCAAATATCTGGTCTTAGGGATACCAATAGTTTTTGAGCAAGAAGATGCCAGTAATGCTTATAGGGACATGACTGTGGTGGCATAATGAAGTAACAAAAGGTCAAGAGAGGTGGGCTTGAGTTCTTCCTCCCATTAGTTCAATGTCCTTGGGGAATACCACCTCACTGTGCCTCAATTCCCAATGGAGAAATCAACTTAATTAGACTGAATGGGTTCTAAGCCCTCTTTTAAGCTCTTGTCTTTCTAAAAATCTACAGACTTCAAAGGAAGCATGTCTAAAGCTAAGATGCCCACTAGGAATTTGAACATATCCACAAACAAGGCTGTGAGTGATCCACAAAGAGGCAATACTGTTTATGTGCCAGGTAGTGTTCCAGGCTCTGAAAACGCAGAAGCCTCCATCTTTCTCTCCACAAGTCCCACAGTCTTACAGATACTCAGGTTTTCTGTACCTACCACCAGTAGCAAGGTTCCTAAGGATGAGATTGACAGCTTGTATTTCCAAGTGACAGTAACCCAGGTGCTAGAGTCTCAGAATAAAGAAGCTGTATTCAGATGTTCTGTGAAGAGCCCCCTCCTTCGCCAGGTCTTATTGTTCAAGAGAAATCTGAGAGCAACAAGTCGCTAAGCTCACCCCCAACAAAGTAGAAGAATCCACTCTAAGCATGATGCTACCTTGTCTATAAGTCGCCCAGCTGCTTCTAGGTTATCAGCACTAACACAACTAAGCCTTACCTCTAGAATTCAGAGAAACTTTGATAATCCCCCTAACCCCAAGAGCTGGAACAGGAACAGCCTTTGAGAAAGGTAGATCTGGCAGGTTAACCAGGAAGCTCACCAACAAAGGAAAGGGGAAACTGTTCCGGGAGCCTAAGACACAATAAAGATCAAAACTTAAGTGATCAAATGAGAAAGCCTTAGGTTTCTTCCTCCTACCGTTCTAGCCAAATCAAGACTGCCTTGAGCAGACATACCTGGCTAGTTCCCAAGGGCCCCATCTGCCTACCCATACCAGTTTCCCCCTAAAGTTTCTCCCCTAAACTAGATACAAGTGCCTCTCAGTATCCTCAGGTTCCACTGTCTTCAAGGGATAAAATGGAGGGTTCTAAAGCAGCAAAGTTGTCAAAGACCCAGCTTTGTAAGGCCCCAGCACCCCTGCCCTCCCTAGCCAAACCTCTGGCCATACCAAGATGTCTATTCTTTCTAATAACGATAAAAAAATTAAAATGAAAAGATTCTTTTGAACTAACATCTATTGAAAAGCCATTACAACATTCAGGTGCCAAGATAATTGATCCATGTTGCCAATGTCTTCGAGAGACAATGAGCCAGCTTTGTTTCTTAAGTGTCCAGCAGAGAGATTGGCATCTAGGTGACCAGACCTCTCAGAGTTCACTAACAACAACTTCCTCAATGAAGTGGTGATCTACCTTACCCTCCTAATCATACACCCAGATTGTGGCTAGAGGTAAAACCAGAAAGGGAAACTACAGGATCACAATGTCTAAATACTGTCTAGAGCTCAGGGGTGGTCCTTAAGAGAAGGGTGTAGCTAGCTGCAGAGGTCTGTGGCTCCATGCCAAAAGCCAGGTTCCCAGGAAGGGAGAAAAGCGGAAATGTGGCAGGAAGGAAGTGAAGACTTAGCAGGGAGGCTGAGAGATACTTTTTAAAAGAAGATCTGAAGCTCAGATTATTTACAAACACCATGGAGTATGTTTTGAAGACCTGCATGCCAGGACACTAAAGGAAGAGCAATTTCTGAAAACATTTAGAAATACGTAGGCGTGTATTCCAAATAGAAACTGGGAAACCTGTCAGCAGTCCTGCGTCTGCTCTGCAATTTAATATAAATACTGCGCCTCCCCCAACGATCCACTGACATGGTGAAAATTAGAAGAAAATAAAAATGAATACTTAAAAGGATTAGTTTAAGTCTTCTGGGTATGGTTAGTCTGTAAGTACTTTCTATATATGCTATTAAATACACAATTACTTTAAAATTAAGAATAGCATTATACAATCACATGTTTATTTTATCCCCACAATAGTCTGACATTAGAAATGGGGGAAGTGAGTGCTGACTCAAGTGACAGAGTGCCAGTGAAGGTAAAAAGCCAAGAGAAGAAAGAGTATGAGGCCTTGAGTTCAAGTCCCAGTACCAGAAATTCATAAGTAAATTAATTAAATGGGACCAAGAGTTGTGGCACATGCCTGCAATTCCAGCATCTCATTTCTTAGGAGGCTGAAGCAAGAAAATCTGAGTTCAAGAGGGCTACACAGAGGATCTGTTATCTTTGTCTGTCTATGTCTGTTACTGGCCCTGCAGGTACAGTACAGGAAACCCCTGCTTCATTCATGCCAGTTACTACCCAGGGGCTATATCCTGTGTCCTATTCAACCAACCATACCAGAACACCAGCTCTGAGTGAACTAAACGTCTACCATCACATCTGGCTTGACCTGAGTATGCCATCCATGGAGCTCAGCCTAGCACTGAGCTTCTAGGAAGGAGCTAGCTAAGCTGAGGGCCCACGAGCCAAACTTTTCCACTTGAGATCCAGAAGGGGTTGTGAAGGCCAATGTGATTTCAGTAAAAGAGCTTGAAAATTCCCCTAGTTCCCTACACTATACAGTCTTGACCAAACCCTGAGAAGCCCTGGGGAGAGCTATACATGCAGTTTACCTGCAGATTCTAGAAGTTGTGATCTACCACAGGAAGGGGCCAATATGTATCGAATAAATTGTACCAGTCACTATGCTAAGCATCCACATAGATAATCTCATTTAATCCTCATAGCACCTCTGAGTACTTTGGATAAGTGCTATTACTATTGTAACCTTATAGATGTAGTCACTAATATTTTAGAAGGCATAGGAAAATGTTCTGAGATTTCTGAGATCTATTGGTTTAAGTTGAACCCAGTTCAACAGGATTCCAAACTCCAAGGTATTTCTACAGTCTTATATTCTCATTTTTAAGAGGAAGACAAAACCAGAAGAATGGACTATAACTAATACTGACTCAAAGTCCCAAATCCAAAGGTGTTTCTAAATTCCTTCTCCTCTTCCTCCTTTACCTCCTCTTCTTCTTCTTGAAAGTACTGGGGTTAGAATTCAGAGTCTCATTCTAACTAACCAAGTGATCTATAATCACCTGAGCCTCATACCAGCCTAATTCTCCTAGAGCCTAGTCTACAGCTTGGAATTTATACAGATATGCCCCTACCCCACTGGGCAGCCTCTCCCACTGCAGCACAGCCTAGATTAGGCATGGGCCCCAAGCTGCCCCAATCCTGGGAAAGGTCACAGCTCGAAGTACCTCAGCTGTTTCCTGATGGTTCCATCCTAGGATACTGAGCCTCCAAGAAGACAAAGCAAAACTTGATTTAGGGTTGTTTGCTATCTCTTATAGAGACTTATAGAACTAGAAAACAGTATCGATATCATAGAAGGCTTCTGCTTAATGGTCAGCATGAACTGGGTCCAGACCAGATGCAGTATCATTGTCAGAGACATGATCATTAGTGTGTGTGTGTGTGTGTGTATGTGTGTATGTGTGCGTGCGTGCGTGTGCACGCGCATGCGCGCGCCGGGGTTTGAACTCAGGGCCTGGGCATTGTCTCTGAGCTCTTTTGCTCAAGGCTAGCACTCTACCACTTTGAGCCACAGCGCCACTTCCAGTTTTCTGATGGTTAATTGGAGATATGAGTCTCATGGACTGTCTTGCCCCTGGGTGGCTTTGAACTGCAATCCTCAGATCTCAGCCTCCTGAGTAGGTAGCATTACAGGCGTGAGCCACCAGCGTCCAGCTTATTATTAACTTCTTGGTAGGGATCTTTCCAGGACTCAGACTATTTGACTGACCCTTCATGTCACTTCCCCAGCAGTTCTCCCCTACCTACCTGCTCAGAGTCTCCCGGGGGGCCTTAGTGCCTCCAGCTCCATGGGTGATGCTGGAATTCTTGTTGGCAGTCATGGTCATTTCGGCTCTCTGCAAACCCTGAGCCCTGCAAAGAAGATAAGGCCTGTAAGCTGAGTTTCCACAGGCAGCCAAAAGCACCTCAAACATCTTCCAGATGACCTTTGGCTGGGAGGAGAAAGCATTTTCCCACATATGTTTAACTGCATGTGTTACAGCTTAAGAACCTCAAGAGACCCCTGGCTGAGGTAGGGAAGAGTCTATGAGCTAGCAGGTAATTAATCACCTTCAGAAAATGATTTAAGCATAAAACAAAACAAAAACTTTCTTCTCCATCCCACCTCTCTTCATTTCTTAAATGAGTTTCCCAAACTTCTATCATTCCATTCAGGATTTTTGTCACATTCTGCATACCTTCTGTCCTACTATCTATTCAATTCTTTTTGTGGATAAACTTAAAATTGATTTCTTTCTCCTAAAAAGAACCACTTAAAGTTGTTTTTAACAATGAACTGCTGTTCTTTCATTAAACAAATACTTATTAAGCAACTACGTCCAAGGCAAATAGTGATCCTGAAAAGAGTAAAACAAGGTGTCAGACTACTCTGATAAAGTAACATCTGAGCAGATAGCATACAATTGTGAGCCATAAGTGCTACACATATTTTTCTAATACTCATTAGAACAAAATCAATATACTTTAAGGCATATACTATATATCACTAACAGTAAAAGAATCATGCTTTAGCCAGATGCCGGTGGCTCACAACTATAATCCTAGCTACTCAGGAGGCTAAGATCTGAGGAGTTTGATTCGAACCCAGCCTGGTCAAGAAAGTCCATCTTCACTTAACTAACAAAAAAGCCAGAAGCAGAGCTGTGGCTCAAGTAAGAGAGTACTAGCTTTGAGCACAAAAGCTCAGGAACAATGAATGCTAGGTCCTGAGTTCAAGCCCCATGACTGGTACACACATGTACATATGCATGCACACATGCACACATGCGTACACACACAGTGAACCATACTTTAGAAAACACTATTTTACTTACTAATAAAAGGAAGAAAATATTAAACTTGTGAGTATATCCAGATAGAAAAGGAAGAAATAAAATTATCTCTATTTTTGTTTTTTTTATAATAGAGAAAATACACACACACACACACACACACACACACACTAAACTTGTAAATGAGGCCCTTGTCTTGAAGGTTTGGTCCCCAGCCCAGCACACTACTGGAAGCGTTGGAACCTTTAGAGGGTGGGACATGGGAGAAGGGAGTCTAATTCCTCTCTGGGGACATGCTCTTGATGTGGCATTGAGTCTACAACCCCTTTGTGTGTCTCTCTTTACTTCCTAGCCACTATAAAGTGAATAGTCCTTCCTTGTCCTATGTCCCCCCTCAATACAAGATGACCATGGACTGAAACCTTTAAAGCCACCAAGGAAAGTAAAACTGTTCCTCCTCATAAGTTGATTGTTTCAGGCATTTTGTCACAGAAATGTAAAACTGACTAATACAGTGAACTCAAAATAGTTTGCAGGATGTAAAAATCAATACTAAAAATCAACTCTATTTCTGTACGCTACAATCTACTAGTAAAATTAAGAAAGCAATTCCATTAACAATAGCAGTAAGAATAAAACGAGAATAAATTGAGTAAAGATTTGTGCACTGCGAACTATCATTAAAAAAATTACAGACATAGAAAACCAGAAAGATATCCAGTGTTCACAGATTAGATATTGTTAACACAGCAATACTCCCCAAATTGGGATATATATTCAATAGACTATCCATCAGAATTCCAGCTGCTTCTTTGTAGAAACTGATAAGCTGATCCTAAAGTTTTTTTTTGTTTTTTGTTTTGGTCTGGTCGTGGGACCTGAACTCTGGGCCTGGGCGCTGTCCCTCAGCTCTTCAGCTCAAGGCTAGTGCTCTACCACTTGAGACACAGTGCCACTTCCAGCTTTTTTTTTCTGCTTATGTGGTGCTGAGGAATCGAACCCAGGGCCTCATGCATGCAAGGCAAGCGCTCTACCACTGAGCCACCTTCCCAGCCCTGATCCTAAAGTTTTAAGAAAATGCAGGGGACCTAGAGATAACAGAAAATGGATCACAGACCTAAATATAAAAACAAAGTTTAGAAGACAACATAAAAGTAAATCTTTGTGACAGGTGTGATTCTTAGCTATGACAACAAAAGTACAAGCAACCAAACAGTATAAACAGCAAAAGACATAGATTGGCTCATTTTAACAATAGGATGTACAAGACACTATGTTGAAAATGAACTTTACAACTTCAGGGGTGGGGAGAGGGAAGAATTGGGGAGGTGGGGAGGAAAGGGAGGGTAGAAGAAAAACAAAGGAGGAGGTAACAACGCTTAATAGGAAATGTACTCATTACCCTACTCATGTAACTGTAACACCTCTGTACAGTATTTTTACAATAAAAAATATTTTTAAAAAACAGCAAAAGAAAAAAGAGATAAACTGTTTATATCAAAATAAAAAAACTTGGGCTCTCACATAATAATAGCATACAGAATGAGAGACATTATTTGCAAACCATATTATCTGGCTGTATCTAGAATATATTGTTAGATCTATGACCCAATAATAAAAAGGCAAATAACTAAATTAAAAGTTAGACAAAGGGATTAGGCACCAACATCTAGCATCTGTAATCATGATGATTATGGTGATGATAATGGCAGTCTTTCTACTAGTACATCTCTCCACAGTGACTCTGATGAGATATTCTTTACCTGCAGCCTGGTTGACCAGTGCCCAGTTAAGTGCTTGGCATATAGCTGTGTGTGCAACTAAAAAAGTATAGAAGAGAGTTAGATGTGGTGGCTCATTTCTATAATCCTACCTACTCAGGAGACTGAGATTGGATTACAATTTGAGGCCAGCCTGGGCAAAAATTTCACAAAAACTCAATTTCAACCCCATTTCACCACCACAGAGGGCTACCTGTCATCCCAACTATGAGGGGAATGTAAATGGGAGGGTTGGAGTCCAGGCTAGCCTTGGCAAAAAGAAATTCCTTCCCCCCCAAAAAAAAGAATGCAAAAGGGACTGAAAATGGGTCTCAAATGGTAGAGCGCTTGTCTAGCATGCTCAAGACCCTGAGTTCAAACTCCAGTACTCTCCCAAAAGAAAAGGTAAAAAGAGAAGAGCTAGCCTAAGAAAGCTTTCTCAGGCTAGCTCCCAGGGCTCTTACAGCCCTCAGTGCTACAAGGAATCAAATTACTGTGCATCAGCTTCCAAGTGTGCCCAGGACAGCAAAGATCACAGTAATCATCACCTGCCTCCAAATCACACTCTCTCAGGTCCAGGGCAGGCCCTCTGGGAAAGGGCTGAAGATGTCTGCAAAGGCCAGAAACTGAAATATAGTAAAAGAACATGATGAAACACATACTGTTTCTTTCCCTGAATGTGCAATCTTAGGAGGCTGACCCACTGCTCTGAAACGCTATTGTGCAGTCGTAAATGAGAACAGAGTCGACCAGTAGGAAGGAAAAATGTAGCTGGCTGTGACATTTGGGTGAGATAAGAAGAGAAGTCCTGTAAAGATTTAACCAAGAGAGGAGGGGAACATAATTGTTCCCAGGACACGGCAAGAACCCTCAGTTACCCCTTTTGTACAAGTGTAGATGTCATTCTCAGAAATGGCCAAGGAATTCAGACCTCCTGGACAGGCAACTGCTGAGGGATCCCCACACAGAGATGCCAACTAGCTGTCTTCAACCACCTGCTCTTTCAGGGCCAGGTCTATCAGTACAGGACAATAACCTCAAAGGCAGGCTGATCCTTGACCCCTGACATAAGTATCCATTGGCATAAGCATTGTTAGTATACAGGCTTCCTGGGCCATAATGCTTCTCCCAGCCCTGTAAGAGCCCTCCCCTACACTTTTGATCTGGTACTTTGCCTAGATAAAAGACACTGTGAAATGGTGAAATGCTCCTTGAGAATGGGGCAGAGAAGCAAGGGTGGGAGGCTGGTTTGAAGGACCATCAATGGCAAAGATGAGGCAGAAATGGCATGTGTGGAAATCAAATTGTTCAGTGGGCATCTACCACCAATCACCTCAAAAACCCACTTTGACAAATGAAACAATGAAGTGAAGTTGCATCCCAGGGAAAGGAATGTAGTGAGGTACCCTGGAGGTTCTCAGGCCCTTGAGGTACAGTTGAAAGAATACCTGGCAGTATGACGCAGATACCTGCAACCAACTCTGCCTCTCCACTGCTAACTGTAATGCTGAACAGGTAAGCCCCAAAGACTCACTTTCTGCACATAACAGCAAATATAGTAGGGTAACCTACCTCCTATTATTGCTATGCCAGGCACAAAGAAGCTTAATAAATGTTTGTTGTTTCCCCACCCTCCCAGATCCCGTATATTTAGAAGAAAATTTCTCCATTCCTGAGCCTGACTCACTGTCGTCTCCGCCCACGCATGCGAGTGTGCGTGCGTGCGTGTGTTAAGGCTCAGGGCCACACTCTCATTGTGGTCTCCTCCTCTCTCTCTCTCTCTCTCTCTCTCTCTCTCTCTCTCTCTCTGTGTGTAGGCTCAAAATCAGGGCCTCACACTCTCATTGTCGTCTCCTGTGTGTGTGGGGTGTGTGTGTGTGTGTGTTGAGGCTCAAAATCAGGGCCTCACACTCTCAGCTTTTTTTTGCTCAAAGCTGGTGCTCTAATCACTTGAGCCACACCTCCACTTCTACCTTTCTTCTGCTTAGTTGGAGGTGAGAGTCTCCAATTTGTCTGTCTGGGCTGACTTTGAACCTATCCTCAGATCTGTGCCTCCTGAGGAGATAGGATTAAAGGAGTGAGTCACCAGGCTGTGAATCATTTTTCACACCCTCTGGTACTACCATTGCATCCATTTACCCTATGACAGGTATTGTGTAGGTGTAAAGATATAAAAATGAAGAGATACAGTCCCTGCCTTAGAGGAATTCCCATCGAGGGGAAGTGGTCATCAGGAAAGCCTCAAAGGGAGGTCAACTAAGCCTTAGCTAACTTGTTACCCACAGTAAAAGAAACTAAAGAAAAGCTAAGCTAGATATCA